ACTAAGGACATAAATAGACAATCTCAAAAGAAAATATACAAATGGCCAACAAGCATATGGAAAAATGTGCAACATCACTAATTATCAGGAAAATGCAAATCAAAACCACAATGCAATACCACCACCTAACTCCTACAAGAATGCCCATAAAAATTAGAATTAAAAAAAATAGATGTTGGCAGGGATACGATAAAAAGGGAACACTTTTACACTGTTGGTGAGAATGTAAACTAGTACATGGAAAACTGTGTGAAGACTCCTTAAAGAACTAAAAGAGCTACCATTTGATCCAGAAATCCCACTACTAGATATCTACTCAAGGGAAGAGAAGTCATTATACATACAAGATACTTGCACAGGTATGTTTATAGCAGCACTATTTGCAATTGCGAAAACATGGAACCAGCCCAAATGCCATTAATGAACAAGTGGATAAAGAAAATGTAGTATATTGTGGTATATATATATATCATCGAATACTACTCAACCACAAAAGGGAATGAAATAATGGCATTCACAGCAACCTGGATGGAACTGGAGAGTACTCTAAGTGAAGTAACTCAGGAATGGAAAGTCAAATGGCATATGTTCTCACTCATATGTGGGAGCTAAACTATGAGGACACAAAGGCATAAGAATGACACATTGTACTTTGGGGATTCAGGGAGAAGGGTGGGGTGGTAAGGTACAAAAGACTACACATTGGGTACAGTGTACACTGCCCGGGTGATGGGTGGACCAAAATCTCAGAAATCCCTACTATAAAGAACTTATTTATATAACGAAACACCACCTGTTCCCTCAAAAGCCTATTGAAATTTAAAAAATAAAAATTCTTAATTCAACAGGCATTTCCCAACACTCATCATGTATCAGACACTCAGCTGCACACAGATATCACAGAGTTCAGAACACACAGCATATTGCACTCAAGAACCTCAGAGTCTAGAGGGGGAATCAGACATGTGGACAGACAATTCAAATGGTATAAGAATAGCTACAACAGAGACGTGTGTAGGTTACTCTGTCCAGAATACCATAAGATCCAGATGAGAGCATCTACCAACCTACTCTGATAGTAGAGGATGGTAGGAGGATCTCTAGGAAAGGGACTATCCAAGCTGAGTCTTAAGAAGTAAATAAGAGTTATCCAGGATAAAAAGAAAAAAAATTGCTCAAAAAGCATTGTAAAAGCACAAATAAAGGGAAAAATAACAGTTAAATAAATACAAAGTAAAAGTGAAAAATTCAAGCAAAAAACAATCGTAATTTTAGGAGGTAAGAAAACGGGTCATATTAGAGAGACAAAATCTTCTAGAAACTAGGTATTTAGATAAATGCTTGGGAGGTGAAATGATTGTTTTTTGAGTTTGTGTAGTTCAACAGAATTCCAGAAAATTAACAGATTTCATACTCATCAATAAGCTTCTTAAAAAAAAAAAAAAACGCATGTTATATACTATTTGAGTGTGCCTGGGACCAAGAAAATATGCAAAATGTTTCCTATGTGTCTTACTCTCTTTTCTTCTGTTATAACAGAATACCTAATGCTGGGTAATTTATTTTAAAAAGAAATTTGTTTCTCACAGCTTTGGAGCTGGGAAACCCAAGAGCATTGTGCCAGCATCAGACAGGGGTCATTCTCTGGCAGGGCAAAAATCAGAAGCAAGCATGTGAGACAGAAAAAAAAGGAGGGTGGGACTCCCACAATAACTAACCCCTTCCCACATTAATGCATTAATGAGGGTGAAGCCCTCATAACCGAATTACCTCTTAAAGACCCTACTGTTAACACTGTTACAAGGGCAATTAAATTTCAATCTGGGTTTCAGCCGGGACATTCAAACCATAGAACTATGTGAAAATATATATGCTCACATGCACATATGCATGCACACACAAACACAGATGCATTTGCCAAAGCACAAACTACTAGTTCATCAGCAATCTCAAAATTAAAAGTTGTTTGTTTTTGTCTTTAATACTGCCTTCCTTCCCATCTTTGCCAGTGATAATAGGAACAAGGTGACATAGCCCCTGGGGAAATAGGAAGGGTGTATAAGAAAGATAAAACAACTCTTCTTTTTGGCTCTGAACTAACCTTATAAAATACACTTGCCAGAAGGGAGATCTAGACAACATTTATTTGTCTAGTTTAATTTAAAAGTGCATATAGCCTACCACCAAAAAAAAAAAAAAAAGGCTCAAAAGCAGTCACAGGCTTTGACAGAAAATGTCATTAAAAAAACATTGTATTCTTTATGTGTATGCATATATACCATTACACATGTTGCCGTGTGTGTGTGTGTGTCTGTGTGTGTGTGTAAAGATATATAACGTAACCTTCCCTTTATCCATTATCCATTAATAGGTCATTGAAATAACTGACCTAGGTGATGAAAGTATAAGCTCTGAACTTAGACTGCCTGGCATTGGGTCCTGGCTCCTCAGTGATCATTAGAAACTTAGCTTCCCCAACCCTCAATGACCTCATCCATAACATTTAAAAATTAATAATAATAGAACCTACCACATGTGATTATTATGAGGACTGAATGAATGATGTAATGCATATAAAGTGCTTAGCCTGTTAACTGGCATGTCATAAGAACTCAAGAGTAGTTGTAGGACTGCTATACCTATACCAGATGTGATTCCAACATAGCCCTATTTTGGAAGGAGACATCTTAAAAAGCATTCAAGTGATTAGATTGGGCTGACTAGCTTTTTGCTGCCAGCTATAAATTCACTAACATAAACTACTTTTGTAAAGGACCATCCAGTGCTTAAAACAGAGGACCATTTGTCTTATTGCTCTCATAAATTCCCATCACTTTGGCTTGCCTCATCTATATAAATGAGTCTTTAAAAAAAATACTCCTGAATCTAATCACTCCTGGAGCCTGCAAACAATAGATTGTTTATAAAATGTAGGATCCCAGCTGACAGGCTTGCTGAAAATTAAGACAATGATACAGCCACAGGCTTGAGTAAAAGGGCTGTGGTCAACAAGAAGTTCAACAACACTGATTAATCCCTAAAATGCAACAAAGTAGCAATTTATTTTTAAACACCTCTATTTTTTCCCTTGGAATTATCCATCACCATATTCTCTCTCCCATCCTCCTCTCTTATTTATACCTTACTTCTGGGGAATAATTTTAAGAGGAAACTTTTGCCAAGATTTTGAATTGCTTGTATTACTTAATGCATATACAAGTTAAAAAAAAATACACATCCAAAACCCAAGTGTAAAAGCAGCCATTCCAGAGCTTGTAATATTGGAGCCAGATTATAGATAGTAGAAATTTCAGAGGCGGGTGGGAGGGGGGGAAACCCCAGCAAACAGATTCAAGAAATATTTTTAAGAGAAACTTTGATCTGAAAACTTTGTGTTTTGCACATGTGAAAAATAGATCTTTCAATCAAGAGAAGCACGGGTTTTGGGTAACATAGTTAAAGGAGCACACATTTTCATATCCGACTTTCCTTTTTTTTCTGTCCTGGGAAGAAATTACTCTTCCACTGTGCAAGTCCACCTACTCAGAGGCATGTGATTAAGATCATAAGGAGATCAGGTCTTCAGGCACAGAAAAATGTTAAAAAAAAAAAAAAAAATTCTAAAACCTAAAGTGAATTACCACTCTTTTAAGCTGTGATTAAGTTTAAAAATAAAACCATCAATGGTTTTTATTCTACAATCGAAACCAGAGGTCTACTTTTACCTTCAAATAAAATCTTGTATATCTAACAGTCTCTTTTTGGCTTAGGATTATTAAACCCTGATATGATTCCTCCAGGGTTGAAGATCCTCATGCTAAACTGCTTACCAGACGTTTACAAATTGAAATGGCTCTCAGGGGATTTTTTTTCTGCCCAGTTACTTCTGTTACTGCTGTCTCTGAAGTCAGACATTATTGAGATAAAACTGATTAGAAAAGCCAAGGCTCTCTAACTTTCAACACCAAATAAGTCAGAAAAGCCTAAATCAGAAAGCTTGGAGCTCTTTCTGCTTTTATATTATTAAAAGACACTCTGGTAAGTGAAAGCCTTGTTTACTCAATACCAGTTTTCAGAAAACAATGCCTCAAAGCATCTTTTCTTTCCTTCCCCACACACAACACTCAGAGCACACATTTTTGAACAAATTCTGGATTAAACTTGGGTATACTACCTGTGCTATGTCACCTATTAACTCAACTGTAAAGTGACTTCTTACAGACCCCAGATGGCATATCATGATGTTATATCGAACTGAGCACAGAAAGTCACACCAGAACAAAAGAATGCCAAATTGCAGGGTCTATTGCCGGCGACCACGGACGACTCACGTCTCTCCAACCCGTGGCCCCGTAAAAGAGGGTGACAAGACCTTTTATACCCATAAAATCACCTTGGGGGTGAGGGGAGAGGATGGGGTGAGGGGCTTCAGACCTTCCGAGGGCCAGTGGATTCAAATCACCTTCTGGGCGGAGAGGAGGGTGATGATGGGGTTCTGGACATTTCGAGGGCCAGGGGACTATTTGACATTCTGATTGTTATTTAAGGGGTTCACAGATGCTGAGATTAACATTCGTTTACACATCGTCTGGGTAGGGGTGGGATCCATAGATTTTTATTTACTTGGTGCCAGGATGGAATTATCTGGGGGTGCTTACTCTGGTAAACAAAGGCCAGCAATTCTGGCATTTACAGATAAGAGAAGGTATGCAGCTTTACCTCAATTTGCATCCTGCAAATGATCTAGCAATTTACAAAAGCCAAGGTTAGCAGTCACTGTGAGGAGAATGGAAACAGCTTTGTTCTTTATAAAATGGCATTGTACAGGTTCTAACTTTAGGCCGGCTATATCACAATGACAACTACATAGCTTAACAAGAGAATTAACAAAAAATGAAGACACTTGCCTAACAAGGAGAAGGAAATAAAAAAACAAATAAAAACTTCATGCTCTTTCCTGAACCTCCCATTTTATGATGCCTATAAAGTAAGAAAAATACCAGTTCAGCCTTCTGTTTCATTCCTAAGTCAGTGGTGTAGCATTCCATATGATTAGTCCAAAATTTGTATTGTTCTTTCCATTTTTTCCTAATAATAGAAAACACAAAAGATTATGTAAGTAGCTCGACATACAAGTGAACCATGGGTCTAAAAATTGTTCATTAATTTGTTAAAGATTAGAACACATTTTTCTTGGAAGCAGTGACTGTTAACTTCTGAGACAAGTCCACATGTATATTGCAAAAACCCCTATATCAAACCTCCCTAACAGTGGCTACAGCCTGATCACCCAGTATTTAAACACCGTTACTGATAAAATTCACACCTTTAAGATAGTTCATCTCTTTTGTTGGATAAGTCCTTTTGTGCATTAGCCAAAATGTACTTACACTGAGCTACAATCTGTATCCACTTCCCACCTGGCAATTACTCCCATCATGGCCAGGAGCCATCCTGCTTCTTTTGCCCTTTCTTCACTGTAAATGTGCCTAATTCCTTGTATCATTTCTCCTAATGTGGATTTCAGCCCTCATGCCCCTGAATATGCGCCAATTCCTTTTTAATGTCATTTGTGTAATATGATGGTCACAGCTGGAGAGAATCAGACACATGTGGCTAGCACAGTAGGTGCCTGATTACCTGTGGCCTGAACAGTGTGGTTTTACTTTGTTTTGCTGAATACTAAGTCACTGGAAGACACAAACAGCTGTGGATGGAACTTATTTGGGTTAGAAAAGAGTCTCGTTGTTTATGATGTGTGGCAGTGTGCCTAATGAGGGAAACCAACCAGAAGAGGCAAGAACTAAAAATACCAGCCACTTCTATATCTAGAAATGGAACCAACAAACGACCTCTGAATAAATCTTTCTTTTCTGGAAGAATCATTTGGATGGCATTAGTTACACAATTGTAAGGCAAATAGATGCCCATCACCCCGGAGAAAAGTATAAAAGAATTTGTTTTTCTGTAGGTTGGCCAAATCTGTTTCTCCCAACTTCCCTTTGAGTTCCAAGCTCTGATGGGGGATGTGAAGGAAGCAATTTGCATAAAGAACTGGGGGAGAAGGCCTCTGGGAGGGAAAGAACTCGCACTACAAAGGAGCTAGACTACAAAGGGCCTCATGGCAGAACAAAGCAACCAGGTTCCTGCAGTAAAGTAACCTTGGTGGTTAAAGCAATAGGACAAGGCTGGTTCCTCCTTGCAGTCAAAGGAGAAATAGAGAAATGAAAGTTTTCATTTGTTAGGACCCAGTACCCGCTCCCCCACTCCAGGAACACAATTAGGCTTTAAAGAGGGAGCTCTGTGGGTATATCTAAGAAATTGTCATTTTAGAAGCTGCAATCCATTTGTCACAGAAGCTGCTTGGCTGAACATAACAATAACAAAGTAGGATCATCATCTCTTCCAGAACTAGAAGCATCAGTAGCTGAAGCAGGTGGTTTAGCCATAGCAACATCACTTTGTGTGTAACCTTCAGAAACAATTTCTTCTTGCAAGGACTTCTCAAGCCTTTCCCAGCATAGAGTAAAGAGCACCAGGTGCAGTCAGGCAGATTCAGGTTTGTAAACTGGCCCCCCGTTCCTCAAATGTGTGACCCTAATCCCTGTTTAGCTGTCTTGTTTTCCCTCTTGTTTGATGAAATGATAATGTCTACCTCAAAAAATTGCTATGAAAGTTTGAGTAAATAGATAGATTCAAAGATTTCACATACTCTTTGGAATCTGATAAAAACATGTTAGCTTTTTATACATCTTTACATCTTTGATAAGTTTTATTATGAAATATGACACATTTATAGAAAAGTTCATGAAATATAAATGATAGCTAAATAAATTATTTTAAAGTAAATACTATGACTGATTTTTAAAATCTTTTAATTTTATAATTCTTGGCTTTTTAGAATTTGTCTTTTTTTAAAAAATCATTTCCATTTCTCTGTTAACATTTTACACCTTGCCTTTTATTTTTTTGAATATACTAAACTTAGTTAAAGTCTTTGATAATTCTACATAGTCTTGAGGGACTGTGTGAGTCCATGAGGGGTGCGGTTTCAAAGGCAGGAGCTTCCCAGCACCACCACCCCCATCTGGAAACCTAGAGTTCTTTGCTGACTTTCCCACGGACTAGGTAGAAATTCCAGGGCTAGGCAGAAATTCCAGGTATGCTTCTTTGTTCAAAAAGCCCGGGAAAAGCTCTGGGAGGAAGGGCCTCTGTTGCAGATCTAGCAGCCAATCAGGTATCAGAGTCAAAGATCAATCACTTCAATGGAAGTTCGAAAGAACTCATCTCATTGGACGAGAACAAGAATGGGACGGGAATAACTCCAAGGTTAAAAACCGGCTACTCCTTACTCTTACGGATTCCTGCCTTGGATCCCTGCCTTGGATCCCCTCCCACTGCAGCATGGGAGCTCTCGCTCCTTCTCTCTCTTTCGCTCTCTCTGCCTGATAAATCGCTCTTTGCAAAACTCTTTGGGTCCGTGATATTTATTCAAACGGTAAGCTCAGCGCACCTCCGGGGTCTTTTCCCTATTCCTGGGGAGAGAGAGGCCAAGGACCTGAGCACATGGGGAAAACATCAGTTCAGAGAACTGGAAGCATCTTTGGGGCACCCTTGCAGGAGGGAGCTGAGCGCCTATGCCCCGCCCCGGTTACAGTCTCATTCATATCAGTTTCTCTCTCAGTGTGCCAGGTCAATTTTTAACATGCAATGGACCGTTCATTATTACAAATAATTTTAAACCTTCAACAAACAATGAAAAGATTGTTTGTTGTTTGAGCCAGTGAAGCATCAGAAATCACTCTCATCTTTTTATAGGGATTGAACCTGAGCTGGTTGATTTCTCATCATCCCTAATTTGGGATGTGGCCCTTCAAAGTGTAAACCTAAATCATAGACAGGGAGTTTTACCAGGGTTCTCACTTTGGACAGGCCTTCGACCCCAACTTTTGTCTCCTTAGTAACACAAGGCTATCAAAAATAATTCTCAGCATTTTGATTATCTTTTTCAACAATCAGCAAACACAAGCAACCTTAATGCTGGGCTCACCTCTCTATAAAACTATTCTTGTCGAATCCTTAGCTCCATAATCCTTCAGTATATTTTTTACTATTTCATACCTTCAAATATATGTTTTCCTATTGTTACTCATCTGTTCTTGTTATTTTTATTTAGATTGTTGGTTAGAATTATCAGTTATCCAAAATGAAAGTCTCTACTCTTACTTGTATTTATTTAATTAACCACAATAAATTAACCTAACTACCGAAGAAAACTACTACTTTATACCTCCCTTATGATATTTATCCCTTCCAACCTTGTATTATAATCATTTAAAAATATTTCTCTCCTCCTTCAATTTTTAAGTTTTTCTATGACATAATTAATAACCATGCTTGATTTGTTTATGATTTACCCAGTTCTTGTATGTGATTTGCATTAGCTTTGCAGGAACTAAGTGACTGAATAAGCCTGAATGTCTCTTGTTTGCACAACTGGACATTTGAAACATTTCAAACTGCACATTTGAAATAGAACCTCTACATTATCCTATACTACATAATGGATCATCTCAGCAGAAATAAGAAGTAGGCTAGTCCCAAACATCAATTGTGAGTTGCATTAACAAGTTCCTCCAGACCTCATGTAATAAGCCATTGCATACCTGCAGAAATAAATAGCAGTATTAAAATACAACAAATGGAAGTTTGGATACCCCAGGTTGCAGTTTCAATACTGATCTGCATATTTCATTTAGCATCAGTACATGTGACTTAAATTGTGCAGCTATTGCTCTTATTAAAATTCATAAACTCCCTCTGGAATTCATGGCAGCCATCTGGCCAAATATTGGCTTCTTACATTTGAAACTCAATTGCATCGAAGTCACTGAATCTCTCAATCAATTACACAGGATCCAAGCTCTTAGGGCTTACATTGATTGGCTACCATTTTCCTAATGGAGTCATAGCCTCTGTAATTACCTATTTGACAGGAGAGGTGACTGCTTTCTGAAGGCTATATATCCTAGCTCTTCATTTACCTAAAATGTTAGTTGGCAGCCCTCATAAGAGCATCAGCTACAAAATGTGATTAGAGTTAATGTAAGTGTAACAGAATGATGTTCTCATCTCATCTCTACTTATTGCATATGGTTGCCACAGATTATTCTCTAACATAGATTGCATTTTCCGAGTAACTTCAATGTACATTTTTATTTTATAATTCATCAACAGCCAAAATTTATGCATTTGCACATACCTTCTTATCCACAGACACACTCAAGAAGTACTGCTTGATTCAAAAAGCTAAACTCTTTTTCCAAATATATTCTGGTCCTTACAACATGAAGCATATTTGACCATGGCTTTTGAACGTGCACAAGAAAAAGTAATTAAGAGCCCCTTCCTTAATTTATGCAAAGTACTAGAAAGAACACTGCTATTGGATTTAGACCCACATTCAGATTCCAATGTTAGTTAAACCACGGATTACCTGCATTGTATAAGTTCATTTTTAAAATCTCTGAGCCTCTTCATTTATAAAATTGAGATATTGATATCCCTTTACTTTTTAATAATTATAATATTTGTATGAGATAATAATTTTATAATGCTTTTTGTAAGTTTGAAATCACAAAATTTAAGCACCTAGCACAGTTCTTAGAAAATATCGGGCATTTGTAGCTGTCAGGCTTTGCTTAAGTAAAGAAGCTCCAGCTACCTCAAAATCTTGATGGTTTACAACAGCAAACATTTCTTTCTCACTCAGCAATGTTCAGTTTGTCTGTGGCTCCAGTGGAAACAGTTGAGCTTACCTGGCCAGTTAAGCTGCCTGTGGCTCCAGTATGCAGAGTAGGTTCAGACCTGCTCAATAAGTCACCCTGCCCAGGATTCAGGATGAAAGAACAGTGCCTACATTGGGTATGCTCTTTTCACTGTGGATAGTAGAAGCACAAAAAGGCTGGGGAAACTTACTTGGACCTCACATACTCTCACTTCTGCTCACTTTCCACTGGCTATAGCAAGCCACATGGGTAACCCAAAGTCAGTGTGGCAAGGAAATATATTCCACCCACAGAGAATCC